CTAAAGCCAGCGCCTTAGACCACTCGGCCAAACTGTCGGTGAGTGCTGCAAGTGACACATCCGAGAAATGATCACACTGGCGTTGGGCAAGTTGCGTGCAGTCACAAAAGTCTGATGACACACTGGCGTTGGGCAAGTTGCGTGGAGTCACTCAAGTCAGAAACTTCTCGTTTCCCCGCGCAGCTGCTTATTTCCGCAAAACGCAAAAGAGATATCACCCCACATGCTAAAGCCGTGACAGCTGTGGGGTTCGAACCCACGCCCTTACGGACTGGCGCCTAAAGCCAGCGCCTTAGACCACTCGGCCAAACTGTCGATAGGTGTTGCAAGAGACACAGCCAAGAAGTGATGACACACTGGCGTTGGGCAAGTTGCGTGCAGTCACTCAAGTCAGCAACGTCTCGTTTTTTCCGCGCAGCTGCTTATTTCCGCAAAACGCGAAAGAGAGATCACCCCACATGCTAAAACCGTGACAGCTGTGGGGTTCGAACCCACGCCCTTTCGGACTGGCGCCTTAAGCCAGCGCCTTAGACCACTCGGCCAAACTGTCGATAGGTGTTGCAAGAGACACAGCCAAGAAGTGATGACACACTGGCGTTGGGCAAGTTGCGTGCAGTCACAAAAGTCAGAAACGTCTCGTTTTTCACGCGCAGCTGCTTAATTCCGCAAAACGCAAAAGAGTTATCACCCCACATGCTAAAGCCGTGACAGCTGTGGGGTTCGAACCCACGTCCTTACGGACTGGCGCCTAAAGCCAGCGCCTTAGACCACTCGGCCAAACTGTCGATAAGTGCTGCAAGAGACACAGCCAAGGAGTGATGACACACTGGCGTTGGGCAAGTTGCGTGCAGTCACAAAAGTCAGAAACGTCTCGTTTTTCCGCGCAGCTGCTTATTTCCGCAAAACGCGAAAAAGATATCACCCCACATGCTAAAGCCGTGACAGCTGTGGGGTTCGAACCCACGCCCTTACGGGCTGGCGCCTAAAGCCAGCGCCTTAGATCACTCGGCCAAACTGTCGATAGGTGTTGCAAGAGACACAGCCAAGAAGTGATGACACACTGGCGTTGGGCAAGCTGCGTGCAGTCACAAAAGTCAGAAACGTCTCGTTTTTTCCGCGCAGCTGCTTAATTCCGCAAAACGCAAAAGAGTTATCACCCCACATGCTAAAGCCGTGACAGCTGTGGGGTTCGAACCCACGCCCTTTCGGACTGGCGCCTAAAGCCAGCGCCTTAGACACACTGGCGTTGGGCAAGTTGCGTGCAGTCACAAAAGCCAGAAACGTCTCGTTTTTTCCGCGCAGCTGCTTATTTCCGCAAAACGCGAAAGA